ATCAAATTCACACGTAACAATACTAATGTTAAATGTAAACTGGCTAAATGACCCAATCAAAAGATACAGTCAAACGGGATAAAAAGTCAAGATCCATTGGTGCATTGTATTCAGGAGTCCCATCTCAAGTGTAAAAAAACACATAGACCAGAGGTCCAAGGGGGCCGACTAGCAGCAGCTCAGGATTGTAGCTCCTGGTGAAGGTGCAGCGAGTGGGTGGACCCCAGACTTCCAGACGAGTTTTTGTTGCCTATGGCCCAGGAGATTCCCAGCGGAGGAGTCTCACAGTTCTCCAGCACGACTCTTTTGGCCAGCATGGCTGTTTTGCCAGCATCCTGGAGTGGCGGTTCTCAGTGCGGAGTATGCAGGACTGGGTGCCCTTTTGGTTGGTGTTTGGAGCTCCGGGAAGGCAGAGTTGCCCATTCAGTTGATAGAAAAGTGGACTGAAGCCAGGAGCCAGACCAGGAGATTTCCGGGCAGAAAAGCACCATGAATCTCAGCGCCGCTGTTTCAGCTGGCATGGTCACCGCATGGTAAATTACATAGATCCCGGCACCTTTTTGGTGGGCAACTGGGGCACCTGGGAGAGAATTGACCATTCAATTAGGAAAAGAAAAAAGGCGGGCTCCGAGGCAGGGAGCCAGGTGATTGGGTTCTGCTGGTCCCACCCCCACAAAACAACAGCAATTGGAAACGCTGACGGTTGAGAGTTTCACAGCAAGCACAGCTGAAACCGGGATGGTCCAGCTCTGTGGGGGAGGGGCATCCTCCAAAGGAAAACAAAGAAACAGAAATAACATCACCACCAACAAGCTGGATGTCCACTCAGAGACCCAATCTGAAAATCAGCAATTACAAAGATGATAGGTGGATAAATCCACAAAGATGGGAAGAAACCAGTGCAAAAAGGCTGAAAATATCTGAAACCAGAATGCCTCTCCTCCTTCAGGGGATTGCAGCTCCTCGTCAGCAAGGGAACAAGGCCTGATGGAGAATTAGTGTGATGAATTGTCAGAATCAGGCTTCAGAAGGTGGAGAATAAGAAAATTCTGTGAGCTAAAAGTACATGTTCTAACCCAATGCAAAGAAACTAAGAACCTTGAAAAAAGGTTTGACGAAATGCTAACGAGAATAGATAATTTAAAGAAGAATATAAGTGAATTAATGGAGCTGAAAAACACAATACGAGAACTTTGCGAAGAATGCACAAGTTTTAACAGCGGAATTGATCAAGCAGAAGAAAGGATATCAGAGGTCAACGACCAAATCAATGAAATAAAACGAGAAGACAAGATTAGAGAAAAAAGGGTAAAAAGGAATGAGCAAAGTCTCCAAGAAATATGGGACTATGTGAAAAGACCTAATCTAGGTTTGATAGGTGTACCTGAATGTGACAAAGAGAATGAATCCAAGTCGGAAAATATTCTTCAGGGCATTATTCAGGAGAACTTCCCAATCTAGCAAGGCAGAGCAATATTCAACTCCAGGTAGTACAGAGAACACCACAAAGATATTCGTCAAGAAGAGCAACCCCAAGACACATAATTGTCAGATTCACTAGGGTTGAAATGGAGAAAATGCTAAGTGTAGCCAGAGAGAAAGGTCAGGTTACCCACAAAGGGAAGCCTATCAGACTCACAGCAGATCTCTCAGCAGAAACTCTACAAGCCAGAAGAGAGTGGGGGTCAATATTTAACATCCTTAAAGAAAAGAGCTTTCAACCCAGAATTTCATATCCAGCCAAACTAAGCTTCATAAGTGAAGGAAAAATAAAATCTTTTGTGAACAAGCAAGTACTCAGGGATTTCATCACCACAAGGCCTGCTTTACAAGAGCTTCTGAAAGAAGCACTACACATAGAAAGGAACAACCAGTATCAGCCATTCCAAAAATATACCAAAAGGTAAAGAGCATCAACATAATGAAGAATCTACATCAACTAATGGGCAAAACAGCTAGCTTGCATCAAATGGCAGTATTAAACTCACAAGTTATTATTTATCCTAAATTTAAATCGACTAAATGCCCCAATCAAAAGACACAGACTGGCAAATTGGATAAAAAACCAAAACCCATCGGTATGCTGCATCCAGACCCATTTCACATGCGAGGATATACAAAGACTCAAAACAAAGGGATGAAGGAAGATTTACCAACCAAATGGAGAGCAAAAAATAAATAAATAAATAAAAATAAAAAGCAGGAGTTGCAATTTTCGCCTCTGATAAAATGGACTTTAAAGCAACAAAGATGAAAAGAGACAAAGAAGGACATTACATAATGGTAAAAGGATCAATTCAACAAGAAGAGCTAACGATCCTAAATATATACACACCCAATACAGGAGCACCTAGATACATAAGGCAAGTTCTTAATGACTTATAAGGAGACTTAGACTCCCACACAACAATACTGGGAGACTTTAACATCACATTGTCAATATTAGACAGATCAATGAGAAAGAAAATTAACAAGGATATCCAGGACTTGAACTCAGACCTGCAACAAGTAAACTTAATAAACATTTATAGTACTCTCCACCTCAAATCCACAAAACATACATTCTTATCAGTACCACATCACACCTACTCTAAAAGTGACTACATAATTTGGAAGTAAATCACTCCTCAGTAATTGCATAGCGTTTCACAGGTTTAAATGAAATATTGGTTGGCTGTTTGTTATTTTCCTCCCTTATTTTTTCCTGTCTCCATTGTTAAGCACAATTATTGACATAAAAGTGGTTTTCAATACCCATTTTTAGACTGTCTTCTAGCCTGGGCAATAAAGCAAGAATCCTGTTCTCTCTCCCTCTTTCTCTTCCTCTTTCTTATTCTCTTTCATTTTTTTCTTTCTTTCTTTGTCTCTTTCTTTTTTTTCCTTCTCTTTCTTTTTTTTCTGTTAAAAAAAAAACAAGAAAGTTGTACATTGAGCTAAAGAACTGTTAAAGAGAGTGTGTTCTGTCTATTCTCTGACTTTGATATCTATGTCCTCATAACCCTCTAGAAGGCCAGGTTCCAACCTGGGTTCTGTGCTGGCTCCTTAGTCCCTTTTATGTCTGTTAGGGGTGGCAAAGGAGTGGGCTTGGATTCACAGTGAGCATTAGGGGGCTGGTTTTTGAGAAGAGGCCATAGACTCAGAGTTAGAAAGTAAATTACTGATTATCTTTAGGTGTCTGGGCCTTATAATGGAAAGGACTTTTTAGAGAGATGTTTATGGTAAACAGTAGGATTCGAGCAGTAGGTAGGAAAATAAAAGCTCATTTAAAAAAAAAACAAAAAACACATAGACTAAAGTAAAGGGATGGAAAAAGATGTACCAAGCAAATGGAGAGAAAAAAAAAAAAAAGCAGGGATTGCAATCCTAGTCTCTGATAAAACGGCCGTTAAACCAACAAAGGTCAAAAGAGACAAAGAAGGCATTACATAATGATAAAAGGATCAATGCAATAAGAAGAGCAAACTATCATAAACATACATACACCCAACACAGGAGCACCCAGATACAGAAAGCAAGTTCTTAACAACCTACAAAGAAACTTAGACTCCCACACAATAATCGCGAGAGACTTTAATACTCCACTGTCAATATTAGACAGATCAATGAGACAGAAAATCAACAGGAATATCCAGGATGTGAATACAGATTGGGACCAAGCAGACCTAATAGACATTTACACAACTCTCCACCCCAAATCCACAGAATGTACATTTTTCTCAGCACCACATCGCACCTACTCTAAAATTGACCACGTAATTTGAAGTAAATCACTCCTCAGCAAATGACAAAGAATGGAAATCGTAACAAATATTCTCTCAGACCACAGTGCCATCAAATTAGAATTTAGGATTAAGACACTCAAAATTGCACAACTACATGGAAACTGAACAACTTGCTCCTGAATGATGACTAGATAAACAATGAAATGAAGGCAGAAATAAAGATGTTCTTTGAAACCAATGAGAACGAAGACACAACGTACCACAATCTCTTAGACACATTTAAAGCAGTGAATAGAGGGAAATGTATAGCAATAAATGCCCACGTGAGAAGCAAGGAAAGATATAAAATCAACACCACATCATCAAAATTGAAAGAGCTAGAGGAGCAAGATTAGACAAATTCAAAAGCTAGAAGACAAGAAATAACTAAGATTAGAACTAAAGGACATAGAGACACAAAAAAACCTTCAAAAATCAATAAATCTAGGAGCTGATTTTTTGAAAAGATCAACAATATAGACAGACCACTAGCCAGGCTAATAACAAAGAAAAGAGAGAAGAATCAAATAAATTCAATAAAAAAAACGATAAAGGGGACATCACCACCGATTCCACAGAAATAAAAACTACCATCAGAGATTACTACATACAACTGTAAGCACATAAATGAGTAAATATGGAAGAAATGGATAAATTTCTGGACACTTGCACACTCCCAACATTAAACCAGGAAAAGATTCAATCCCTGAATAGACCAATAACAAGATCTAAAGTTAAGGCAGCAATTAATGGCCTACCAACCAAAAAAAGTCCAGGTCCAGACATGTTCACAGCCGAATTCTTCCAGACATACAGAGAGGAGTTGGTACAATTCCCTCTGAAACTATTCCAAACAATACAAAAAGAGGGAATCCTCCCTAACTCATTTTATGAGAACAACATCATCCTGATACCAAAACCTAGCAGAGACACAACCAAAAAAGAAAATTTGAGCCAATATCCATGATGAACATAAAAGCAAAAATCTTCAATGAAATACTGGCAAACTGAATGCAACAACACTAGCAAACTGAATGCAACAACACATCAAAAAGCTTATCCATCACGATAAAGTAGGCTTCATCTCAGGGGTGCAAGGCTGGTTCAACATGCAAATGTATAAACGTGATCCATCACATAAACAGAATCAAACACAAAAACCACATGATCATCTCAATAGATGCAGAGAATTCAACCACCCTTTATGCTAAAAACTCTCTATAAACTAGGTATTGATGGAATGTATCTCAAAATAATAAAAGCTATTTGTGACAAACCCACAGCCAATATCATACTGAATGGGCAAAAACTGGAAATAATCTCTGAAAACTGGCACTAGACAAGCATGCGCTCTCTCAAAACTCCTATACAATATAGTATGTGATGTTCCAGTCAGAACAATCAGGCAAGAAAAAGAAAGGGTATTTGATTAGGAAAAGAGGAAGTCAAATTCTCTCTATTTGAAGATGACATAATTGTATATTTAGAAGACCCTATCATCTCAGCCCTCAATCTCCTTAAACTGATAAGCAACTTTAGCAAAGTCTCAGGATACAAAATCAATGTGCAAAAATCACAAGCATTCCTATATACCAGTATCAGGCAGAAAGCCAAATCATAAGTGAACTCCCATTCACGATTGTTACAAAGAGAATAAAATATCTAAGAATACAATTTACAAGGAAAGTGAAGGACCTCTTCAAAGAGAACTACAAACCACTGCTCAAGAAAATAAGGGAGGACACAAACAAATGAAAAACATTACATGCTCATGAATAGGAAGAATTAATATTGTGAAAATGGCCATACTGCCCAAAGTAATTTATAGATTCAGTGCTATCCCCATCAAGCTCCCAATGACTTTCTTTACAGAATTAGAAAAAAACTACTTTAAATTTCAAATGGAACCAAAAAAAAGAGCCCACGTAGACAAGAACATCCTAAGTAAAAAGAACAAAGCTGGAGGCATCATGCTACCTGACTTCAAACTATGCTGCAAGGCTACAGTAACCAAAATAGCATAGTACTGGTACCAAAACATATTTATATCTATATATCTATATCTACATCTATATCTCTATATCTATAGATATAGACCAATGGAATGGAACAATGGCTACAGTAATAACACCATGCATCTACAACCATCTGATGTTTGACAAACATGATGAAAACAAGCAGTGGGGAATGGATTCCCTATTTAACAAATGGTGTTGGGAAAATTGGCTTGCCATATGCAGAAAACTGAAACTGGACACTTTCCTTACACCTTATACAAAAACTAACTGCAGATGGATTAAAGATTGAAACATAAGACCTAAATCCATAAAAACCCTAGAAGAAAACCTAGGCAATACCATTCAGGGCATAGGCATGGGCAAAGACTTCATGGCTAAAACACCAAAATCAATGGCAAGAAAAGCAAAAATTGACAAATGAGATATAATTAAAGAGTCTACACAGAAAAAAAAAAAAAAACTATCATCAGTGTTAACAGGCAACCTACAAAATGGTAGAAAATTTTTGCAATCTATCCATCTGACAAAGGGCTAATATTCAGAATCTACAAAAACATAAACATATTCACAAGAAAAAATCAATCCCCTCAAAAAGTTGACAAAGAATATGAACAGACACTTCTCAAAAGAAGACATTTCTGCAGCCAACAAACATAGGAGAAAAATCTCATCATCACTGGTCATTAGAGAAATGCAAATCAAAACCACATTGAGATACCATCTCACGCCAGTTAAAACTATGATCATTAAAAAGCCAGGAAACAATAGATGCTGGAGAGGATGTGAACAAATAGGAATGCTTTTACACTGTTGGTGGGAGCGTAAATTAGTTCAATCATTGTGGAAGACAGCGTGGTGATTCCTCAAGGATCTAAAACTAGAAATACCATTTGACCCAGCAATTCCATTACTGAGTATATACCCAAAGGATTATAAATCATTTTACTATAAAGACACATTCACACATATATTTATTGTGGCACTGTTCACAATAGCAAAGACTTGCAACCAACCAAAACGCCCATCAATGATAGACTAAATAAAGAAAATGTGGCACATATATACCACGGAATACTATGCAGCCATAAAAAAGAATGAGTTTGTGTACTTTGCAGGGCCAAGGATGAAGCTGGAAACCATCATTCTCAGCAAACTAACAGAAAACCAAACATTGCAAGTTTTCACTCAAAAGTGGAAGGTGAGCAATGAGAACACATGGACACAGGGAGGGGAACATCACACACAGGGGCCTGTTGGGAAATGGAGGGCTAGGGGAGGGATAGCATTAGGAGAAATACATAATGTAGATGATGTGTTGATGAGTGCAGCAAATGACCATGGCACACGTATACCTGTGTAACAAACCTGCACATTCTGCACATGTACCCCAGAACTTAAAGTGTAATAAGAATAATAATAAGAATAATAATAATAAACAAACAAGAATTAGAAGAAGACAAAGATGACTATTCTTACCACTCTTACTCAATGTGGTGCTGGAACTCCTAACCAGAGCAATTAGACAAGAGAAAGACATAAAGGATATCGAGATTGGAAAGAGAGTCAAATTTTACCTGTTTACACATGACATTATCTTACATACAGAAAACCATAAAAACTTCCCCAAGAAAACCTGTTAGAGTCAATTTAAAACTTTAGTAAATTTGCAGGATACAAAGTTAACATGAAAAATTAGTAGTGTTTTTATATAGTAGCAAAGAATTGGGGGAAAAATCAAGAAAGCAATTAACTGAACAAAGAAAGTGAAAAATGATTTTTTAGAAAAAAACCTATAAAAGACTGACAAAGTTAATTCAGGTGGTTAAAAAAATGGAAAGACATCACATATTTAGGGATTAAAATTATTAACATTGTAATAATTACCATTAACCCAAAGAAATCTACAAATCCAATGTAATTCCTATTAAAATACCAGCGACATTCTTTACATAAATAGAAAAAAAAATTCAAAAATTCATATGGATCACAAAAGACACCAAATAGGTAAAGAAATCCTTTGCAAAACGAAGAAAGCTGGAAATATCACATAATCTAACTTTAAAATATACTACAAGGTATGGCAACTAAAACACCATAGTACTAACATTAAAATAGACAAAGAAACAGAAAAGACAGAATACAGAACACAAGAATAAATCTATATATATACAGATGAATGATTTTAGACAAAGTCGTCAAGAACTGTCTCTAGGAAAAGAACAGTCTGTTCAATAAAAGGTGCTAGTATTACTGGATATCCACATGTGCTCAATGGTTACTTCCCACTTATAAGTGAGAACATGTAACATTTGATTTTCTTTTCCTCTGTTAATTCACTTAGGACTATAGCCTCCAACTCCATCCATGTTATTGGAAAGTAGATGATATCATTTTTCTGTATATGGACATCCAGTTATCCCAGTATAGTACTCCATCACTCCATTGTGCATATGTCCCACATTATCTTTATCTAATCTACCATTTATGAGTACCTAAGTTGATTTCATGTTTTTTCTATTGTGACTCATGTAGCAATAAACATATAACTTCATGTGTCTTTCTGGTAGAATGGCTTATTTTCTTTTGAGTACATACTTGGTAATGGGATTGCTGGGTTGAATGGCAGCTCTGTTTTAAGTTATTTGAGAAATCTCCAAACTTCCTTTCACAGTGGCTGAAACTAAACTCCTATCCCTAACCATGTACAAAATAAATAAATAAATAAAGTCAAAATAAATTAACGGTGTATGTGAACAGAATAAATGAACAGAGTATGTGAAAGTATAAAATTATGAGACAAAAACATTGGGGAAGCACTTCAAGACCTTGACCTGGGAAAGACTTTTTTGAGCAAGACCACAAACTCACAGAAAACAAAAGAAAAAATAAACAAATGAGGTTATATTAAGCTAAAAAAATAAACCTTCTGCAAAGCAAAGGAAACAGTCGATAGAGCAAAGAGACAACCTACAAAACAGAAGAAAATATGTGAAGACTATTCCTCTAATAAGAGATTAACTGGAATATATAAGAAACTCAAAGAACACAACAGTAAAAAATATAAGTAATCTAATTTTAAAATATGCAAATAATATTAACAGACGTTTCTCAGAAAAGACACAGAAATAGCAAATATATATACAAAAAGTGCTCAACATCACTAATCATAAGGCAAATAACATTTAACTCACAATGACATATCAACTCACCCTAGTTAAAATAGTTATTATGAAAAAGACAAAAAATAACAAATGACAGCAAGAATATGGAGAAAGGAGAACACACATAACTGTTAGTAGAAATGTATACTAGTAAACAACTATGGAAAATAGTATGCAGGTTCCTCAAAACACTAAAAGTAGATCTATCATATAATCCAGCAATCTCAGTGCTGAGTATACACACAAAACCAAGAAAACAAGCTATACAGCTAACCAAGAAGGTAACAGATGTCCAAAAAATGAACTATAAAACACTACTGTTGGAAATCAGAGATGACTCAAAGAAGTGGAAAAACATTCAGTGCTCACAAACTGGAAGAATCAATATTATAAAAAGACCAAAAAGCCTAAAGCAATTTACAGATTTGATGCTATTCCTATCAAAATACCAATATAATTCTTCAGAGAATTAGAAAAAATTACTCTAAAAGACATAGGGAGACAAAAAAATGCCTGAATAGCCAAAGCAACCGTAAGCAAAAAACAAAGCTGGAAGAATCACACTACTTGACTTCAAACAATACTATAATGCCACATTAACCAAAATAGCTTGGTACTGTATAAAACCAGACACATAGACAAATAGAACAGAATGTAAAACTCAGAATTAAATCCATACACCAACAACCATCTGAACTTCAACAATGCTGACAAAAACAAGCAATGGGGAAAGGTCTCCCTATTTAATAAATGATGCTGGGATAGCTGGCTAGCAATATGCAGATCGATGTTGGACCCCGCCACCCACCTTTCACTAGATACAAAAAATAACAATTTAAGCTTAAGATCTCAAACTATAAAAATCCTATAAGACGACTTGCAAATATTATTCTCAACATGGGCCTTGGCAAATAATTTTTGGCTAAATCCTCAAAAGCAATTGCAACAAAAACAAAAATAGACAAGGGGGACCTAATTAAACTAAAGAGCTTCTGCATGGCAGAAGAAATTATTAATAGAGCAAACGGACAACCTGCAGAAAGAGAAGATATCTGCAAACTATGCATCCAACAAAGGCCTGGGGTCCAAAATCTATAGGAGACTTAAATCAACAAGCAAAAACCAAATAAATCCATGGAAAAGTGGGCAAATTACATGAATGGACAATTCTCAAAATATGTGCAATTACTATGTATCAATTTTAAAAAGCAGCCTTCAAGATGGCTGGCTGGAGGTGTCAGAGCTCACTTTTTCCACAGTGATGGACTCAAACAACAAGTAAATAACCACATGTTGACTAGAGCTTTGGAACACTGGAATTCCATATAGAAGTGACAGGTAACCTATGAGATATAAACGGAGAAAAAAGCAAAGTAGCTGGCCTGGATTGACTCAGAGTCAGGAGGAACTCCCTTTTGCAAGGAAAAGAGATAGATACCCAGTGGTCCACATTCTCAATGTGGACTCCTACAATCTTAGCCACAGGGGGAAAAAAAAAAAAAACTTGACCTACTTGGGTCCTGAGAACCATTTAGGAAGATGCCTGGTGTGCATATGATGGTATTTGTCCAGAAAGAGTTCATGTTGGGTCTCACAAACACACTGAGATTCAAGGAACTGGAACACCATATGATTCAGAGAGCCCAGCCCCCACTAGACTACATCCTGCCCTGGAACCTAACATCTCCTGCATCGCCAACATCCCTGGAACCCTGTTGATATTCTCCTATGTTCAATCAGAGGTCTACAGCAATACAAAGCCAGCTGGACCCAGCTGTGTGGGTGGTTCCTCAGCAGTCTAGCCTACACAGTGTCCAATATTCCAGGGAACCGGTAGTGGAATGCACTACAAAGTCCTCCCACAGGACAACAGGAGCCAAAACTTGCACTTCCCATAGCCTCACACCTGCCTGTGTTGGGTTATTGCTAATAGCAGCAATCCTATTCCTTCCAGCAGCTGGGCCACTACACATCTGCATGCATATTCAGGGAACATGAAAACTGAGCCACTGATGCATTTACTGAGGCCCAAGGAAAGGCCTACCTCGCTCACCACCACTGGGACCCAGGCATACCATTGTGGGGCTTAAGACAAGCCTGCCCCACTCATTGCTACTGCCTTAGCACATGAGCATGCTGTATGAAGGACTACAGCAGTACATGCCATGCTCCACCTATCACATTCAGCACACATGCAAACCTTCAGGAAACCTGAGAACAGGCTCTTCCCTCCTCCCATTGCCACTAATAATGCCCACACATGTTATCAAGGGGCTGAGGGTTATCCCATTCTGTCTACTACTGCTGGTACCCTACAGTGAGGGACCTGAGGGCAGGCCCTTTCCACCTGCCACAGTTGGTATAGAAACTAGTGCCCCCACAGTGACCTGGGAAATGACTCACCACACCCCATACACCATCCTGGATACTTAGGACAGGCTTATGTACACACATCACCACCATGGATGGTACCCCATATACGCAGCCCTAGGGATTGAGGATTGGCATGCCTGGCCTATTGTCACCACTACTAGTAACCCAGAACCATCCTGCTTGGCATGCCTGTACCAAACAAAGCTTTGTCGTAGCCTCCACTAACAACTGTACCTCAGCCCAAATAAATCATATGGAGACTATGATTCTGGGCTCACCCAAAATCAGAGCCAAAGAATCCTACCGAACCAAGACTATAGATACATCTTTAGGAAAAAGATAATCCATAAAATTGAAAGGAACAACTATTATACCAGATGTGCAGATATCAACATAGACACAAGAAACATTTAAAAAGCAAGAAAACATGACACCTGCAAAGGAACACAATAATTCCCATGAACAGGTTTCAAATAAAAGAAAATTATGAAATTCCTCAAAAACAATTCAAAATAATAGTCTTCATACAGTTCAATTAAGTAAAACAACACACATGAACAATATAAAGAAATAGGAAAAAAATTCCTGATCTGAATAAAAATGCCAAAAATACCATAAACAAAAAAACCAGAATCCCTGTTACTAAAGAATTCCATGAATGAAA